AGCCAAAACTCCCAAAAAACCCACAGCAACTATCAGATTCCGGCCATGAAAGCCTTCGAGAAAATAGTTATTTTGCTGATTCAGGGAATCATATGACAGTAGTCAGAATCCTACTGGAAAATTATGCTGGTATAAGTATAATTGCATAAATCACAGGGTTAAATTGCCACTAACTAACAAGTTGCTGTTTGCATTACTGGTCATGGGCCAATCACATAATTTGTTACATCATCAGGAATAGGAATGGCAACTTGCAAATTAGTGACAATTTATCACTGTGATTTATGCAATTATACTTTATTATATAAATCACATATAACAGCAATAACAATAACAACAACTATGCAATAGGATTATGCCCAGTATATGAGGTTTCTTATTTTTTAGAAGAAGCATCTATGATGGCAAACAGATGCATGGGAAGAGAATAAACTAGTGCTTATTAGCTGAAATCCCGTTTGTGTAAATTCTGCAGCTTAAAGCTGATAATGTACACAGTAATAGATGTGCATGATGATATTTTTTTCATATTACTTTCATCTTTGATTCTTCTGTGTGTGTGGGGGGGGTGCTTCTTACATTTTCATAGTTTTCCTGGACCTGTTGATTCATTTTACAGGAAAGGGAAACCCTCTACTGCGCTATTCACGTCTGACACTCCAAATGCCCTAGATAACTCTTAAAAACTACTCCAAAAAGGAGAGGCGAGGTAAAAGAGAATCAGTTTACTCTAAAAGCAGCCAAACCTACATGAGAAAAAAAATTACAACAGTACTGTGACACTTAACCAGCACAACAGACCCTCTAGGCCTGGGCGGCACTCTAGAAAAAAGGTAAGGAAGGAAGCAGACTGGTAAACACTGGCTGCCTGGACACAGAGACACTCACTTACCAAAGTGTGATTGGGTTCTTTTGTAAGTGGGGGTGGGCCTGGGGTTTCGGCGGGAAGTTAGGACGGAGAAGAGGTGGTGGGTACAAATAACGGTTCTTTATTACATTCGGGGTTTTGGCGGGAAGAATGGACGGAGAAGAGGCGGTGGGTAAAAATAACGGTTCTTTATTACATTTAACATCAGGTATTCCCAAACCAAATGGGTCCAACAGTTCTACCTCCGGCAACAGCTTATAACTCTTTAACAGTTTCAACATTCTTATTCTCCTTTAAATTCTCCTCGCTCCATGGGTATAAGGCATAACTGGGTTCTGCGCAGGAACACTCAACACTGCGCATACTGTCCTGCAACACAGATGTTTCACGTATGTTCCCTCCAACCTGGGGAGATACGGGCTGAAACCAGAGGGGGTCTCTTTCATCCCCGAAGCTTGGGTAGGAGAGGATGCTCCCCAGTTCCATCCCACTTTTGGTTCATACTTATCTTTCTTAAGCGAGTCCGATGGGATGGGAAGCAGTCCTCCTCCTGTCATCAAGTTGGGAAAATCTTTCAACAATCTTGTGAATCTATCTCTATCTTCCCCTGTCTCTACTGTCTGTACACCTCTGTCGTCTTGCTTCGTCTGAGGCTCCTCCTTCCTCTCCTCCTCTTTTATATCATCCCACCTCAAGAGATCTAGCTCCTCCCCAAGCTCTTTCTGCCTCCCTTCTGCCAGAAATACCTCAACTGCTATATTATTTCCTATTCCCCCGTCATCGATTTTAATTAGCTCTCTGACAGCGCAGCCCTCGCTCACTTCTGCTTGTTCCTTCGTGGAGGACGGCACACTTCTCATCTCTAGCTCACACAAAGCAAACAACAATAAAACAACACCAAGTACACCAAGAGAGAAGCATCCCAAGCGGTCCCAAACCAACAGTCACCACTAGAGACAGGGGTATTCGTATACGAGTATCGCACACAGCTGGAGTTAACGAGGGTCCGCCTCCTCTGGGACCAGATCATCCACTCACACATCCAGCGGTGGCAGCAGCGGCCTTGGAGTTAATGAGGGTCCGCCCTCTGGGACCAGGTCATCCATTCACACATCCAGCGGTGGCAGCAGCGGCCTCACTCATCCTTCCAATCGCTCCCGGAGAGCTCCACTCTCTTCCTGCTCAGCTAGCCACTCAAGGGGAGGGAGGACTAGTCTCCATGCATGGTTGCCGAGTCACTTCACTAGCCGAGCAGGAAGAGAGCAGAGCTCCGTGAGGGTCCGCCCTCTGGGACCAGGTCATCCATTCACACATCCAGCGGTGGCAGCAGCGGCCTCACTCATCCTTCCAATCGCTCCCGGAGAGCTCCACTCTCTTCCTGCTCAGCTAGCCACTCAAGGGGAGGGAGGACTAGTCTCCATGCATGGTTGCCGAGTCACTTCACTAGCCGAGCAGGAAGAGAGCAGAGCTCCGGGAATGATTGGAAGGATAAGCAAGGCCACCACCACTGGCTGCATGAGCGGATGGTTCAGTACCAGGGGCGGACCCTCGTTAACTCCAGCTAAGCGAGGCCACCACCACTGGCTGCGTGAGCGGATGGTTCAGCACCAGGGGCGGACCCTCGTTAACTCCAGCTGTGTGGGGAATACGGGAATACTAATACACCCATCTCTACTCACACAGGCCATTAGTACAGTCAAAAAGTCCACCCCCGCCCACTAACAGACCAAAACAATCTCCCTGAGCCCCAAGAAAATATGCACCTTTAATTTTATTTGATTTATTTATTTGATTTATTTATTTGATTTATACCCCGCCTATCTGGTCCGAGAGGACCACTCTAACAGAAGATAGGCACAGTACATTCAATTTGACAAATAACAATTAAAAAATAAATAAATTGAACAGGGAAAGCGCACCCCACCAGATATATAGGGGACAAACAGCAAAAGAGACCATTGATGATGGTGCGGCTAAAAAATTCTTGTAAATAAAATAAAATAAAATAAAACAGCACAGTCCCTTTCTCAAAACCCAAGAAGAGCAAGCAAACAATTATTTGGGGGGGGGGAATCAAAGGCCCTCCAAACCAAAACTACTAGAATATGGAGAATTTTTCCCCACATCACTTGATCCCTTCTGTTCTTTTGAGTCCAGCAGGCAGCGGAAAAAACAATGAAATAAAAGTGGGAGAGAATCCTTGCAAAAATCAAAAGAAAGAAGCCAAAAAATCCTTTCTTTTTTGCCCTTTTTCCTTCAAACAACCTGTGACAACCCCAGACCTACTGGGATATGCCCCACTTTCACTAAGCTGCCACCAACCATTCCCTATAAGAAGTCACACAGACCAGGGATGGATTTTCAACAAATAAAAGAATAAGGTTTATTTAAAACAACACACAGGGAAAAATAAAAGGATCAAGTGAATAAGATACAGTAACGTGGCTTAGTCTCAATCATACATACACACAGTTTGGTTCACACAGAACACTTAACTTGAAGCACAGACCCTGAACCTATCAGTTCTGGCTAACCATACAGACACCTGAACCTATCAGGTTGGTACTGACTGACACACAGTAGTACCCTGTCTGACACACAGACTCCCACTCAAGCTTCTTCTCTCAGCTCTTCTTCCTCCAGCTCTCCCAACTTCTCCACACAGGCTTCACAGATATATACAGTACAGCCCCTCCTCCTGATGTCCCACCTTCCACTCCCCATAGGATGGAACTTTCCCTCCAAACCCATGACAGACAGGTAACATCAGGGCTGTATGTAACACATACTATTTCAGTTTTTTATTTTTACTTCCTTCTCCCTAAAAGATTTCAGTCTCTTGTTCAACTGTGTTATACAGTTCATAGGTCTCATTAAAGGTGGAACAAGTCCAGAAATGATTTCTCTTTTTCTAATTTTTTTCACATCACAGACACTTGACATTTTAACAGGGTTGTGTAGACTTTTTATATCCACTGTGTGTGTATCCACAGTGCCCAAACCCTGTAGCAAATCACATTGCCAGGAGAGAGCAGGGAGTAACCTTCAAAGTTTTCTCTCTCTTTTAGTTTGATTTTTAAATTCATTCTGCATTGGGTCAGGGAGGGTCGTAGGAAAGAGGATTTGGAACTAGGTTAAAAAATAATCCCTTCTGTTCTTTTGAGTCCAGCAGGCAGCGGAAAAAACAATGAAATAAAAGTGGGAGAGAATCCTTGCAAAAATCAAAAGAAAGAAGCCAAAAAATCCTTTCTTTTTTGCCCTTTTTCCTTCAAACAACCCAAGATGGAAACATAGAGTGTCAGCAAACTAAGATGGGGAGTTCCAGGAACTCAGCATATAGTAATCCCACAAGGAATGACTGAAGCCAGGAGCACTCCACACTGCTTTCCAGGCCCTTTTACAAACTGAAAATTCTCAATTGATTCAGACTTTCTGAAACCTTCATGTGATGCCATTGTAAACATGAATCACTCATGTTTAGACAGTCTTTTTTTGGCAATCACGAGATGAACAAACTACATAAAAGAGAGCCTCCTTCATGATTTGGGCCTTTAATTTAAACACAAAGAGCCCAGCCTTAGCTATTAGCTAGGGCAATGTTTTGGATATTAAACATTTCCCCTTCCTGTCCTGAGGTCCCATGAGTTCTGGGCAATCTCTTGCATCGTCAGGAACCTGATGAGAGAAGGCTCAAGTTTATGCAAATTATTTGCCCAGAATGACTTTACTGGTGGAGGCAATTGCCAAACATTGCCATTCTGTCCAAATAACTTGCATAAACAGGATTGTGGCTTCCTCTTCCAACAAGTACTGATTTATGGAGAATGTGAGCATAAAATTTAAAGAAGAAATAATGTAAGAAATCTAATCTAACATTGTAATTAAAATCAAGAAATATTATTGCTTACTGTATTAACAACTGCTGTGGTGCAGCATAAGTTTAAAACATGGGAAGAAGCTATCTGAAAGAGGTACTTTAGGTTAGATGGATGAGCGACACTGGACAGATCCTTGTGTATTTAAAACAACAACCATGTATCTTCTTAATATTTGTACCCCATTATATGAATTGAGGAGAACAGATTTCATTTGGTATTTTATAAGAGCACAATAGCTTATGATTCTTAAATACCTGTAATATCTGTCTGAGCATCTTCAATCTCTGCTGCTGCTCTGCTTTTCTTTTCCAGTTCTTTCATTTCAGGCACGTAGAAATCCCCTTGACGGGCAAGGGGGCATATAAAATAGATTTTGTCACCTTTGTAGATTTCCAGTCTGGGATGGGCACATAGTTTCCGGTCCTAAAAAAGATAATAATATAAGCATAGATGGTTCTCCCACCCCTTTCCCTTTATGCCACAGACAGTGGCTACATTTCTGAACAGTTTTTTGGGATGATTTTCTCCATCAGTGGTTTCCAGACAGTGGTGTCTCAGCATTCCAGGGAGATGTTCTCCAACTTGACATGCAAGCCAAGGCATATTTGTCCAATTCCCTGATCTTTATCATTTTCAGACACCAGGGAACCACATTTTATAAAGGCAAAGCATCTTGTGAAACAGAGAAAGAGTTTTCAGGCTTGGAGATAAAACAGATAATAAATTGCAAAAGGTTGGGAGTGCTTAGCAGATCAATGAACTGTTCCTTAGAAGCAGATCCATATTTCCATTGTGCTGAATTCTAACACCATCTGCTTTGAGCACCAATACAAAATACAGTGGGATTCATTTGAAAAAGAACCCACACACAGCAAGTGGGTCGAATAATTGAAAAGGTTATGATTTAAATCAGCTCTATATTAACATGGGAAAGATACCATTAATGCAGGAGTTTTGGTTCATCTATAATTATATTGTTTCAAGCTCAGCTGGTTTGGAGGAAGGCTAAAGCATACAGTTTCCAGTTATTCATATACAGTATTTATATATGTAGCTATGCCTTTATTTATTTCTTTATAAAATGTATAGACTGCCTAATCTGTAGTGACATCACTAAGCAGGACAGTTTATGTAACATAAACAAAGCATGCTCCATTTTGTGACTGACCTTTAGGTCAAATGAAGATACCCAGTGGTGCCTTGCACAACGGGTGCCTCACACAACAATGAATTCACACAACGATGCCTTTTTCTGTTAAATTTGCCGCCTCACACAGCGATGTTTCCTATGGGGGATTTTCACACAACGATGTCTCTTTTTCGTTCCTGTAAAAGTGTCTTACAATGTTTGGAAGTTCAATGAGGGGTTAGCCCCTCATGGTTGCAATGGTTGCAATGGTTAGCCCACCTCTTGAAACCTATGCAAACTGATTTTGGTGTTGTTCTGACACTTCGTTAATTTATGGTAATTTTTTGTTCTCCCCCCTCATTGAACTCCATGCATTTCAATGAGGGGGAAAAACAAAAAATTACCATAAATTAACGAAGTGTCAGAACAACACCAAAATCAGTTTGCATAGGTTTCAGGAGGTGGGCTAACCATTGCAACCATTTAAAACGGCTTCCAAACATTGTAAGACACTTTTACAGGAGCGAAAAAGGACTTCGCAAAGCCATTGAAATGTATTGAGTCGGCTTCAATACATTCCAATGGAGGAAACATTGTTTCACACAGCGATGTTTCCTATGGGGATTTTCACTCAGCGATGGCAATCCGTTCCAATTGGAACGGATTAACCGGTTTTCAATGCATTCCTATGGGAAATGGTGTTTCACAGAACGATGTTTCACACAACATCGATTTTTTTGGAACCAATTAACATCGTTGTGTGAGGCACCACTGTACTTTGTTTTGCAAGCCTGACTTCTCAGACATGGAACTATCTTGCTATATGAATCATTTGTCTGGAGCACTAGCATGATCTCAGCTTTGATAGGCTATTTGTAACATATACAGTACTTTAGCCCTACCAGCTAAAGGACTCTCCAGCAAGAGAACAGCACCTCTTCCCTTATGAAGCAGAAAGTTTAGCAAGAACTGGTGGCAGATGGTTCAGCTTGAGGAGACTGTTTCATCCCCTTGGTTCCTCCCATGTGGCATCCCACAGGGATCAATAATCTCCTCAATGATATTATTGGGGTGGGGGTGGGGGTTATTTTCTTTTTGTTTTACATTATGTGTTCATATTTGTTGTAAGTGCCCAGAGTAGTGGCTTGCCATTAGATTGACAGGGTAGAAATTGAATGAGCGAACAAACAAATTAATTCTATACGTTAACACCCTATATAAAAGACAAAGCATTGGAAATACTGTTTTTTACTGTTGTTTTGAAAATTGAGGGCATGGTGGCATCAAAATTTGGACAAACAAGAATGAATATGAGCACAAACCTTCCCCCTACTAGCTAATTTTAGGTCTGTTTTCCATTGATTTTCAGTTTTTAAACATCTTTCTCCCTGTGATTCATCTGGCTCAAGATCTTAGAGTAGATTTCTCTTTGGAAAATCCTGGAAAGTAACTCAGAAGTAACTCAGTTGTCCATTAGTAACACACTTAGCAATCCCAACTCAAGCAAGGGGGATTGTGGCTGCTACTCCTAGCAGGTGCCTCCCAGTGCCACAAATGAAACTCTTCCCCACAGCATGAATGGAGCTACTTGTCAGAACAAGCTCTGGGCTTCTCTGACTAATTAATAAAATCCAAGGAAGACAGATGAAAGAAGCTCTTTTCTAAAATGTGTAATACAGGGGTGATATGTCTACATCAGGGTATATTCAAATGTCTCCCACTTCTTCCTCTACCTTTGCTTTTAGACACAGTCCCTGATTCTACAGGCATACCAAGCTCCATAAAGCTTGATGAGCAGCACCATTTTTGCAGCCTACAGGTGTCAGCTGAGCAGGCGCTGGGGTGAGTGGGTGGATAGTGAAAACATGAGTTGGAATGCATGCTGGCACATTCCAGAACCACCAAAGATCAAAGAAGTCAGACTTGTGTGGGGACTGAACTTTGCACGGCAGGAACAGCTGGCCGTTTTAATGAACGCCCACAACCTGCCCGCCCATTATTTGCCTTGCTTGACATATATTACACTTTGCATGAAGTGTGTGTCTGAGGGGCAGGGTAGGGGGATGAGATACTCTGTGAAAAAACTACAAAGGGGTGGGAAGGAGGATTAGGTTCACACTAAATAAATGTCAACTCCATTGCCTGGCACAGACTTCAGCTAATGTCCCCAAATAGCCTTTGTTGATCACAGCTTTGCTGGCATGCTGTGCAACTCACTTGCTGCTCTGTAGCCAAAGGGCAAACTCCCCAATAAGGCCAAGGACAATGCTACACAGTCATATGAAAAAGGACATACACTCTCCTTAAATTCTAGGGTTTTATGTATCAGGAGATAATAGAAATCATCTTGTCCTTAGCAGGTCTGAAAATTAGATAAATACAACTTCAGATGAACTGCAACTTATTACATATTATACCATGTCATGATTTATTTTACAAAAAGAAAGCCAAAATGGAGAAGCCACGTGTGAAAAACTAAGTACACCTTATAATTCTATAGCTTGTAGAACCACATTTAGCAACAGTAATAGTTTTCTGTATGACTTTATCCGTCTCTCACGTCATTGTGGAGGGATTTTGGCCCACTCTTCTTTACAATGTTGCTTCAGTTCATTGAGGTTTGTGGGTATTTATTCATGCAAAGCTCTTTTAAGGTCCCACCACAGCATTTCATTCAGGTTGAGGGCTGGACTTTGAATGGTAACACCCTGATCCTTTTCTTTTTCAGCCATTCTGTTGTATATTTGCTGGTGCACTTGGGATCATTGTCCTGTTGCATGACCCAATTTTGACCAAGCTTTAGCAGTTGGACTCAGATGACTTCACATTTGACTCTAGAATACTTTGGTATATAGAGGAGTTCATGGTTGACTCAATGACTGCAAGGTGCCCAGGTTCTGTGGCTGCAAAAAAAAGCCCAAATCATCACCCCGTCACCACTGTGCTTGACAGTTGATATGGGGTGTTTGTACTTATATGTTGTGTTTGGTTTTCACCAAACGTGGTGCTGTGCATTATGGCGGCTAAATATCTCCACTTTTGTCTCATATGTCCAAAGGACATTGTTCCTGAAGTCTTGTGTTTTGTCCAGATGCAACTTTGCAAACCTAAGCAGTGTTGACATGTTCTTTTTAGAGAGAAGAGACTTTCTTCTGGCAACCCTTCCAAACAAACTATACTTGTTCAGTCTTTTTCTAATTGTACTGCCATGAACTTTAACATTTAACATGCTAACAGGCCTGTAGAGTCTGAGATTTAACTCTTTGTGTTTTGGCAATTTCTCTGAGCATTGCATGGTTTGACCTTGTGGTGAATTCGCTTGGACCTCCACTCCCGGAAAAATTGACAACTGTCTTGAATGTTTTCCATTTGTGAATAATCTTCCTCACTATAGAATGATGGGTTTTAAATTGCTTGGAAATGGCCCTATAATCCTTTCCAGAATTATGGGCAGCAACAGTTGTTTCTCTATTATTATTGCTGATGTGTTTTCCCCTTGGCATTGTGTTAATGCATACCTGAATGCTCCAGATCAGCAAACTGTTAAAACTTCAGCTTTTATTGAGGTGGTCACACTTGCTGATTGATCAGTTATTCAAGGGCATTTGATTAGCAGCTCCTGGCTACAACTTAGCTTCTTATTTCCTATGGAAGCAGTAAGGGTGTACTTAGTTTTTCACACATGGCTTCTCCATTTTTATTATTGTAAAATAAATCATGACACAGTATAATATGTCATGTATCGTTGTTCATCTGAGCTTTACCTAAGTTTCAGGCCTGCTAAGCACCAGATGATTTTTATTATGTCCTGATATGTAAAATCATAGAATTCAAAGAGGTATACTTTCTTCTTCATATGACTGTATCTGCAGGAGAATATAAAAACAGGATATGCTTGCAAGGTCAAAGAATGGAAAATAAAAGAGTGAATATTAAGAACCAAGCATGAGATATAATTTTCTTACTCCTTTATCTTTATTAACCCTCTACTCGGTGCAAGAGTCCAAATAAATGTATATCTGACAGGTGGTTGTCTAATTTCTCTCGAATACCTCCAGCACTGGCATGTTCAACACCTCTTGAGGTTATCAGTTTTGTCTGACTATTTCCAGCAAGAATAGCAAGAGAAGGGAGGCCAATGGGGGCAATATGACCTTGTTGGACTTCCTCGACACCTCAGCAGCCTTTGATACCGTTGACCACGGTATCCTCCTGGGGAGGCTCTCTGAGTTGGGAGTCGGTGGCCTGGCATTTGCATGGCTCCGCTCCTTCCTGGAGGACCGCCCCCAGAGAG